ATATTCTAAGAGATTCAGATTCATGAACTGTTCTCCAAGGGCCTTTGGCACAGTGGACTGAGTGAAATACTGTGCCAAGATCAACATTTTAACTGATAAACATTGCCACGCAAAATCAGTTCCTTCTAGGACAAATAGACATTGATAAAATGACAGTTTTGCTACCTTTGACCCTTTTTGCTAAGTTATAGCAAAACAGCTGAGTCATAGTGATTTATATTTTCCACTCCAAGTCACTTATATAGAATGATACGCTTCACTACTGCCTCTGCTTCTATTAAGATCCTGTTTTCATATGGAGTGCTTGTTTTTTATGCAAGTCTTTTGTATCTCTGACTCATTAGCAAGTGGCATTATTTTAAATCTTTTTCTTCCTTTCACATATTTTACATTGTTTTGCTGTATTTTAAATCTAAAAAATATCAGTTAGGCTTCAAGCCGCACCATGGTATGGAAATGACATTGGTCACCCTCCTAGATGACCTATTGAGGAAGGCCTACAGGGCAAAATGTCCTTGTTGGTTCTCCTCAACATCTCATCCACCTTTGATACCGTCGACCATGGTATCTTCCTGGGAAGGCTCTCTGAGTTGGGGGATCGGTGGTCTGGTTTTTGCCTGGCTCCAGTCTTTCTTCAGGGACCATTCTCTGAGAGTCTAGCTTGAGGAGAATGTATTGGCCATGTGGTTCCTCAATTGTGGGGTCTCTCAGGGCTCGATCATCTCGACAATGCTGTTTAATATCTACATGAGTCCACTAGGTGGGGTTATCTGGGCATGTGGTGCCTTGTGTCATCAGTATGCTGATGACACTCAGCTCTATATCTCCTTTTTTCCATCAGCAGTGGATGCCGTTACATCCCTTGAGTGCTGCCTGGGGGCTGTTCTGCAATGGATGCAGGAGAATGGACTGAGGCTGAACCCTGACAAGACAGAGATCTTGAGGGTGGGCGCCCCCATCATCAGTGGTCTGGAAAACCCCCTCTCTTTTCAGGGAGTGACTCTCACCACAAGACCGTGATCCACAGACTGGGGTTCCATCTTGACCTGGCGCTTGCCATGGAATCCCAGGTAACATCTCTGGTCCGCACCGCCCATTGACAATTTCGGCAGATTGCCCAGCTGCGCTCCTATCTTGATGCTGGGGCACTCACCACACTTGTCCATGCGCTCATAGTCTCGAGATTAGACTACTGTAATGCACTCTACATGGGGCTTTCCTTGAGATTGATGCAGAAATTTCAAATGGTCCAGAACACTGTGGCCAGATTATTAACTGGGGTGAAAAAATATATTTCCCACACTCTGGTTGCCTTACACTGTTTACCCATTAGATTCCACATTGGTTTCAAGGTGCTAATGATTACATATAAAGCCCTAAACAGTTTAGAACCTCGATACCTGTCAGAGCACCTTCTTCCACCTAGTTCTGCTGGTGTCACTTGTTCTAGCCAGACTGGGCAGCTGAGGGGCGTAACTCTGGGAGAGACCTGGAAAGAAAAAAACTAGAAACCAGGCCTTCTCGGCAGTGGCCCCTCGCCTTTGGAATATCCTCCCCTCAGAGATTCACCTGGCTCCCTCGCTGGGAGTTTTTAAGAGTAAACTGAAGACCTGGCTCTTCAGGCAGGCCTTCCCTTCTGCCACTACTTAATTTTTTCTCTCTAGTTTTTGGCTTTTTATTGTTTGTGTTTTTAATGATGATTTTAATTTTATTGCCTTTTTGGACTGTAAACCGCCCAGAATAGATTCGTCTAGATGGGCAGTATAAAAGCCGAATGAATGAATGAATGAATGAATGAATGAATGAATGAATGAATGAATGAATGAATGAATGAATGAATGTTTAAAAATGGGGGAAAATCCAGCTTCTTAAATAAAAAAAACCATATCTTAGTAGAGCTTGTACAGAGTTACAGATAGTTTTGTACTAGACTTTAGGCACTATATGTTTGAGAAGGCAATCTGAAGACTAATTATTTCCCTCCAACATGTTTTGAAACATGCAAATGAATGAACTGTGTGTGTGGCTATGTGGAAAGAAAGTCCTACACTGCAAGTATTGTAGCCACTGCAGGTGTGTGGAGCAGTGTGAAAAGGCTGTCCCTCAACATTCTGAGGTGCTGTGGAAGTGGAAGGATCATGTTTCCATACTGCTTCCAAAATCAACAGCTATTGTACTTATACATGATAATAATCATGTCCAGTCAAGTCTGATTTATGGCGACTCTTTTCATGGGTTTTTGGCAGGGAATATTCAGAAGTGGTTTACCGTTCCCTTCTTCTGAGGGTGCCCTGCAACTGGGCAGCTTGCCGAAGCCCACACAGGCTGGCTCTACTGACAGGAGACACAGTGGGGAATTGAATTCCCAGCCTGTGGCTTTGCAGCTATCCAGCCAGCTACTGTACATCTAGTGCAGTGCATTTTTTTAAAACACACACACAAACCTCCCCACAAGGCTCTAAATTGCCTTGTCTAACGTTGAAGACTGTGCTATAATTTGGGTTGTACATGTGCACAAGAGCTCTAGAGCAGAGAATTCACCAAAGCACAAATCTTCGTGTTCCACATGACGCAGCCAGAGCAGTCCACGGGGTTTCAATCTGCTGCAACTGTATAGCGGAGGAGATATCTAATTTCACTTGCAGCAGCTCCACAGAGACTTAAAGACACAAGCCTTAATTGCAGTAATGTTTATTTTGATGTCCTGTGAACACATTTCTCCCTTCCCCCACCAGCCTCCTCAACTTAGCACTTCCAACAATACTGCTAGTTCTTAATAAGCTATTTATTGCCACTACTTCAGTACTAAAAGTTCTTCTACCACTAGTTACAATTTTTGCCATTTTAAAATTGGGCTTTGCATGGATAATTGCACTTTTGAGAGTGAAGCCTGGACGAAGGCTCCCATCACCACTAACGTACATGAGAAGGTGCGTCTCCATTAAACTTAATCCAATCTAGTGCTGACATCTACAGCTACCACCAGGTTTTGCAAGAGATTTTGTTTTTGATCTAAATGATCCTCACTCTGCCGCTGGTTCTACTGTTCCAGCAGGCAGCTTGGAAGATGGTTTGAAAGGTCCCACAAACCAAGACAGAGGGGTGTGGTGAGCTGCGTATTCCCGCACGTCTTCCATGTATTCTTGAGCCTTCTCCAGTGTCCGATAACTGTGGGCCAGGAGAGTACTGGGGAGCTCCCGAAAGGAGCCAGCCGCCTTGAAAGAAGCATGGAGTTCTCTGGTACTTTGACGGATCTGCTGCACTTTTTCCTGCAGGCTGGATGGGAACCCTTCCATGGTGGAAATCAATATCTGGCAAGTGGCCTGAACCTGCTGGATCATGTTCTGGAGCATATTCATGGTCTGCATTTCTACTTGCTGAAATTAAAAAGAAAATGGGCATAGTGTTTTTCTTGATGCAGGCATGACAAAGCACCTGCATCATTTTAATCTTCAGCAGGGAAAGTGAACCTTTAGCTTTGCAGGTGTTTGGAGCCACAACTCCCATGATCCTTTGCCAGTGGCCATGCTGGCTGGGACATCTGGGATATAATTTCTAAAACATCTGGACTGCCAAAGGCCCTCCACCCCGTCTCCTTTGGACTCTTGGCTTACCACGCACAGACAGGCTTCAACCTTCCCATCCTTTGCTGTGGAGTGGACCTTGCCCCATTCAAGAACCATCTGGCGAAGCTTTTCGTGGCCCTCCGTTAACTTCTGTCCTGCTTCATTCTTCATGTATTCAATCTGGAAGGAAAATGGGGAGACGGAAAAATGTAAAGCAATTCCACCCGTGGAATCCTCCGCTTCTTGATTTGTCACCTACCTATTTTTCAACACATCCTCCTAACTACAATATTACTTAAGGCACTGGTTCTTAACCTTAGGTTACTCAGATGTTTTTGGACTGCAACTCCCAGAAGCCTTCACCACCAGTTGTGCTGGCTGGGGTTTCTGGGAGTTGCAGTTCAAAAACACCTGAGTAACAAAGGTTAAGAACCACTGACTTAAGGTATCAAATGTCCCTTCCAAGGAATAGGAGTAGAGCTGTACACAAACCAAACCACGAACCGGAAAAAACAGTGAATTGGGCTGGTTCGTGGTTCAGTTTCCGACCCAGTTTGGGATCTGGTTAGCTGAAGCAAAACAAAGCACCAAACTCCCCCCCCCCCACAGCTCTTTGTTTTGCTTCTGCAAAACAGATTCCCACCAGCTCTCTTCCCACGGCCCCTGATGCTCCCTCCCTAGACCTGCAATCGCTGCCCCCTCTGCCACCACTGAATAAGCAGGCTGGCTTCCCTTCCCTTCCCTTCCCCTCCCCTGGGTTCATGATGGGTCATGGGCAGCTAAGTCCATGTCCATCTCTGAATAGGAGCTCAAATCTTGTAATGCTTTGAGTTTCTTTTGTTCCCCCTATTTCCAGTGTTCAGGCTTTGGATGCTGTTATACAGACCAATATATACAAACCAGTAATGAACAAAGCTAATGAAGTGTTCTTCAACTCCTGCAGAAATGCCTCACTGTCACAAATTTAAACTGAGGAAAATCAGGAAAGGGCTTAAAACGGCACTGCCCATACAGGGACTTGTATTCTTTATTTTTTATCCACATTTTGGACCAATTATATAGACTTTAAAAGCTTGGTGCTTCCCTTTCCTTTTCTGTTGTTTCTATTTGAAAGGAATAGGGCAGGATTTATGCAATTATTTGGAAAACAGAAAGTTTTCTCCCTGAGGCATGGCCAAACCTTGGGATTTACATTTCCCAAAAAAGGAACATTTACAAGCTCTGGATGGGAGTAAAGAGGCAGCTGGCTTTGGCCGAATTGTGGCCCTTTGTAATGAAGAATTATTTGCAGGGAATCAGCCCAGAGGTTTTGAAATCAGAGTTTGGGAGTTTGATTCCCCACGGCGCCTTCTTGACAGGGGCTGGATTCAGTACAGTTTTAGATTTAATCTCCAAAGTGTTCCAACTTGGAAATAGGGTTCGTACCAGGCGAATTGTTTGTTCCAGATGGAGGAGGGAATCCTGGATCCTCTGCCTGGCTTGTTTCATCTTGGCTACAGAATGCTGGTAGGCCCTCTGGCGGAGTCTGACCGACAAGGCACCTAGACGCACCAGATATTCCTCTTGCTCACTCTGCCGGACAGGAACCAGATCGCCATTCTTGACTGTAGCTGCAAGCTCAGCTAAAAAAGAAAATCACAGTAGTTTACCAAGGGTCAGCAGAGAGCTGCCTTGTGCCTTAAACATCCTTGATACCACCATCAAGGAAGGAATGTTTCATTCCCCGTTTGGTCCACTGGAGGACACAAGGCAACATGGAATCCATGGCCTTTTAAGGTTTCTTTTTGGTGTACTGTCAATAAATGCACGAGAGTACTTTCTGACTGCCCCAAAGTGCAGCTTGGAAAAGATCCTGTGTGTTTGGACTACAAATCTCAGAATTCACCAGTCATGTAAAGGGGGAAAATGAAGTGCCATACCATTAGGTGGTACTGGTGTGAAAAATAATGATTTCCCTCTAGACAGACCCACCGTTTTATGGATTTTTAAGTAACCTTGTTGGAAGGCTGTGCACCCCACATTGATAAGGTGGCAGAAGAGGAAATGCACCATTAAGACAAGCAGTGTAGAAATTTGTGTATGCTAATATACGTTTAGTTGAACATTTATTTTAAAAAACAATTTTAAAATTACGTTTAAAACACTAGTTTAAAAAAAAAGCTTGAAACACAAACTCTTTTCCAAACTATTACAGGGCAGCAAAACTCAAGAAGATGACCCTTGATCTTGAGGGTGGCATACCCAACTCCTCATCAGTTAGGGGGAGGTAGTCATCAATGAGCTCTTCGGACTTGTCAAGCAATGCTTCAGCGCTGCTCACAGCTATCTGGCCCACTCTGGATTCCACAACCGTAGTCACACTGTGGCTGATAGCCGACCTGGTGGCATCCATGCTGCCCTGCACAGCTTCTTTGGTCAAGCCCACAACTCCAGACAGCGTGCTGGTGATGGCCTCCTTGGCGCTGGCCATTCTGGACGACACCATCTCCTTTGTGTCAGAAGCAACCTGCAAGGCGACACCATCCTGTGGTTTCCATCTGTACACATTCCCCATAGGAAGACAGCTATCATGTAACATGTTTTTAAGAGCAAGTTCAAGACCTGGCTCTTTAGGCAGGCCTTCCCTCCTGTCATTATTTTTGCCATCTTGAATTATATTATGTTGTTGCTGTTATCTTATACTGCTATTGCTTTTATGAAATTGTTTTATGAACTTGTTAGCTGCTTAGAGTAGACTTCGGTCTAGATGGGTGGGATATAAACAAACAAACACACAACTATGCAGTCCCATTCCTCTTAGCTGGAACAGCTGCTTAGTCTTAAGGCAGTGTTTCCCAACCTTGGGTTTCCAGATGTTCTCAGATTACAACACTCAGAAATCCTGGTGAGCACAACTGGTAATGAAAGCATCCAGGACTTTCAGTCCAAGAACATCTGGAGGCACAAGGTTGGGAACCACTGCATTAATGGAGAAGGTCTGCTGAACACAGGGCTCCCTGCTCCACCAGTCATAGCGCATAGGTAGCAATTTCCAGACACATCCTCTCTCCATCTCCCTAGGCAGGCATGCCTTTTACTAATTGATCCGATAGAATTACCTTATCAGCTGTAAGCTGAAGAATTGGCAGCTTCACCTCCAGTGCATCCAGGCCTTTAGAAGCATACCCACTTGCTGTTGCAACTACAAAAAAATAATAATAATAGTGCCGTCAATTCTGACTTATACTGACCCTTTTCAGGTTTCTCCTGATATGGGTATACTCAGAAGTGGTTTACCATTCCCTTCTTCTGGGGAGCATCCTGGGACTGTGCAGCTTGCCCATATAGGCTGGCTCTTCTCCCAAGAGGCACACTGGGGAATCAAACTCCTTGCCTCTGGCTCTGAATCCTGATACCTAAACCACTGAGCTGTCCTCCCAGCTTACGGAACAAAAAGTCATCCAAATTACTTTCCACTTTCCCAAACAGTATGAATTTCTTCACAAAGGATAAGGCTTACTTATGATACCACTAAGAGTAGGAAGAACACAATCAGTGAGCAATATTTGCTAAGAACAGCGGAAGTGGGTTAACGTCCTCATGTCCTCCTTCTGCATTCCCCAAGTCTTTTGAAAACTTACTAGCTCTATTGGCTGGGGGTTGGTGAGACAATTCTGGAATTGGTAACACAAAAAGGGAATTTTCTAATCTCTATGTTTTAAATAGGTACCTGTTTGATGGTTGTTGTGGGTTTTCTGGGCCGTTTGGCCGTGTTCTTAAGGCTTTTCTTCCTAACGTTTCGCCACTCTCTGTGGCCGGCATTATCAGAGGACAGAAGTCGGAACTCTTGTCCTCTGAAAACCTTAAGAAAAACCTTAATTAAGAACACAGCCAAACAGCCCAGAAAACCCACAACAACCATCGGATCCCGGCCGTGAAAGCCTTGGAGAGGTACCTGGTTGTTAAAGCAGGCAGTGCTTGTTAAAATTACAACTTTGTAGGAGGAGTCTCTTAATCCCCAGCTAGCATGCTCAGTAGGGACCAGAAACAGCCCTCCAAACAAATAACATCACTAAGCTTTGACTGTGGGATGCAGAACTATGTAGGCTTTTGGCCTGATCCAGCTGAGCTCCTATGTTCTTAAATCTCTCTTCTGCCAATCTTTAGTTTCCCAATCTTCAGATCTACTTTGGCTTTACAGCCATTGTGTTGCATGGCTAAAGCTTGGCCTTATGGATCATAACATCTTGATTCAGAAATGCCGTTATAAAAATATCTCAAACACTCAACCTTAGAAGAAAGACAATTCAGAGAACAAAGATGATCTGAGAACAGCAACGCCTTGAGTGCTTTGTATGGAACGTGCAGAAGAGAATTGCAATGGGTAACTGAACTCCAAAAGGTAGACCATAAAAGGGTTGTGCAAACAGAAACTGAGCATAAGAATTGAAGATTCTGCAACATCATGAGATGACTAACATCCCCAAACAGTATTAGCAGTCTATTTCTATGTTGGGATGATGAACAGTTTATCATTCTAGTTATGAGTTTACATGGCCACACTGTGTAAACCTAACAAGCTGAGTGAGACATCTTGGCTCACTTACTTTGGGGTTCAAGTTTAGTCAGGATAGGCTGAGCAGTGTGGACTGCTACCTCTGTTAGGGTCTTCACCCCCTTCTCAGCAACATCACAGAGAGATTTTACATAGGGGTGGTTGTCCTTGGTGGAGTTGTAGGCGGTGGCAGCTATGTCGTAGGCTGAGCTGATCAAAGGCATGCTGGCTACTCTCCTCAAGACATTCTGTAAGGAAGAAAGTGTTGGTTAATGTGTGCTGCCAATTATAGCTCTGGGATAAAAACTATAAAAACACACACGAATGTGTGCTGGAATAGCTTTAAGACTCTAAGACAGAGGCAGGATGCTGTTGAACTACAAACCTCATGGTCCCTTGCCACTGGCAAGGCTACCTAGGGCTGATGGGACTCCAAATCTTCTAACATAAAAAAAGCATCACATGCACCTCTTGTATCAAGATATAGGGAAGCACAGCAGTTTAGAGTCAAAGGACTAAGATATTTAATTGGAGGTTAATGGGGCTGGATGAGCATGTGTGGCACACTTGCTAAAAAGACTGAGTTTCGGATGCCGTTTGTTCCATATCTTTGGAGAATCTGAACTCACCTCCTGTCCTGGTTCCCTCATTTCATCCCAAGATGACATGTTTACTTGGCCGTTGGAAGCCATGGCAAGGACGGAATTCTAGAAGGTAAAGCCACCCACATATTCTTTATTAGTTAGTGAACAATTTTCCTCCAATGATACAAAGTGGCATATATGATTCTTTGGCCTACTTTAAAGTAGGTCAGCCTCAGAAAGAGGTTGAAAAGCCCAAGATCACGGGAGAGGTTTCATGGCTCAATGAGGATTAAAACATGGATCTTCTACATTCCAGTACAATCCTCAAACCACTACACTCTATTCCCTCTCCGAGTTTGTACATTAAAGGTTACTTTGGCCTAGCAAATTGTTCCACTTGTGTCTTTCGGGCCCTTTTCAGAGTTCTTACAGGAAAATAGTATCCTAGTTTTATGGCAAATTTAATATGTTTTCTTGTGGTGCTTTAAAAAAGTTTTTACATCTTAGAGACACATTTCGTTTTTCATATAGTTTTTTTTTTGTGGGGCATCCACTCAGAGCCATTTTGTTACTGGGAAGCTTACAATAAAGAAATTCAGAAGATGATTATGCAGCTGCATTAGAAGTGCAACTCAGGATCATATCAGAATTTAGCCTCATACTTAGCAGGCAGTAAACTTCACTGAACTCAGCAAGGCCTTATTCCTGCCTAAAGGGTTGACTTATTATCCTATCAGTGATGAAGGCCTGGAATTTCAATGCAAGTCTTTTCCTTAATACAGTTGTATCTTCTTTCATTCTTGATTCATTCTTATTTTTAAGAGAGGACCACCAAACAGAAAAGATATAAAACAGGAGTAGGCTATTAATCCTCTTTAGCATACAAACCAATATGAAATATGCTTCTCCCAAGAGGGTTACTTTAATCAGTGCAGTAAGACCTTCCCTGTTTGGATCAAAACTCCCAGAAATCTCAGCTAATAACTGTTGCAGCTGAGGAGAACTGGGGTTAACAAACAAAAAAGTAACTTTGCTCTTTCTTTTCTTTCCCACCAAAAAGCAACAGAGATTAATATTTAGTAACTCAGGTAGATGAAAATGTTTAAACACATTAGGGAAAGGCAAGCTTTTTCTGGAATAACACAAAACACGCTCTTAGTCAGGTGACACACATAACACAAAAACAACCCCCTTCCACCCACTTTTCTTACCTGCAAGAGAAATATCACCAGAAACACCTTGTGCTGTCCCCATTTAAGTGCACCTGATGGAGGGAGGGCAAAGAGGTCAAGACTGACAGCTGAAGAGCCAATGATTAGAGTGGCCCAGTCTTTTCGATCAGATTTTGAATTTGATACAATACAGATGGGAGTAAGAGGCCAATGACCACCCTGATGCTGAGGAATGGGAAAGATCTGATTTAACTTCCATGGCCAAATGATGTTTCCAGGGGCGTTTGGTTTCTTTTTTTTTTTGTTCACTCCTCTACTTAAAAGCAAGGCTCTTCCTCGGATTTTGGAAATCTCACTTCTATTTTTCTGCTACAGTTCCCAGAAATGTCCAGGATTCTGGGAGTTGTAGTCCAGAAATTAACATTTCCTAGCTTTGCAGTTACTTTTCCATAATGTGGAGCTAATTCTTGACTCTTTTGGTTTGTGTGATTTCTTTCTACCTTGTTTTGAACTATCCGAGCAGTTTTCAGTATATCTCTTCCCACCTCCCATTTTATTTTCATTACATACCTGTTGGGCACATTAGACTAAACAGGGAGCCATCTATGTTTTCAAGAAATAATAAGAGTCTTCCTCTTAGAATTGCAGAGCTGGAAAAGATCTTATGGAGTCATCCAGTCCACCCCCTGTTAAGGAGGCACCATGAGGAATCCAACTCCCAACCTCTGGCTTTTTAGCCAGATACCTGACCACTGAACTCTATGATTTAAAATAGGAACAATAATGATGAACTTAATAGTTGGGTGACAAGCTCTTAGTCTGAGAAGCTGGCTTTGACAGCTTTTCCTTACTATACAAATAAATATTAGGAAACTTTTGTTTGTTGATTTTTACTTACTCTGCCTTAATTAAAAACACAAAAACCCAGGCAAGAGAAAAAAGTGATGTCCTTTTTCCCATTACCTCAAGCAGGCAACCATCAGCCTTCATTCCTTCAGCTGACATTTTTTGGGGGGCAGGGAATCTAACTTTTATTTATTTATTTTAAGAATTCCAATCTCAGTTCTGATTCCAAGGTCTCCCATTAAAAAATAATCAGATTTGGCTAATTTAATAGCTACAACACAAAAGAGATGGGGAGGAAAGTGGAAACATTATGGGGAACAAAACTTAGGGAAGCAACAGCCGTGCTAATGGAATGACCCTAACTTTCACTTCATATTTCCTACGTCTGCCGTCCCAGCTTCAGTTGTGGCAATTCCAGTGAAAGGAATCAGGTGAGAGAGGTAACAAGAATGGTTTCTGGCTGAGACCCTTGAACTGCTGCCTGTCAGAGTTGAGCCTAATGGGCAAACAAGCAGGATGTCAGAACACCATCTGGCAATATCATGACTGTGCAGTTTGCTTGCAGTACAGTATCTTTTTCCTCATAACCCCAACCCCATCATTACTAAGCTCCCTCCACCTTCCATCTTAGCTAGGCGTTCAAGGCTACCTAAGCCAGAGTTATACAAACAGATAGACCTATGGTTGTTGTGGTTTTTTTGGGCTCTTTGGCCATATTCTGGAGGTGGTTCTTCCTGACGTTTCGCCAGACTCTGAAGGTGAAGATGTCTTCGAAGACGTCTTCGCCTTCAGAACACGGCCAAAGAGCCTGAAAAACCCACAACAACCATCAGATCCCACCCGGGAAAGCCTTCAAGAATACATAGATAGACTTATGTTGGTATAAACTGAATGGGAGGCTATGTGGGAACCATTGTTACCAAGCCTCTCTTTGAAACTCTTTTGAAAAGGTATGAAGTTAACGAAGAAAGTGGGGCATGCTGGCTAATTTCTCTCTTCTACAGACACGCCTCTTTGCTTTAATCTCCCTTTGCAATGTAGCGTGTCAGCTAAGAGAGTGAGTTCTGAGCCGGGGAGACTCAGAGTGTGATCAGATGGGCCTTTGGACGGCCATGGAGATGGGTTGGTACGCTCTTAAAGATGATCTTTGCTGAAGCAAACTAGCCTGCCCCCAGAGCATTCCTGCCAGCACATTTCTGGCCCTCATCAAGGAGCTTCAACCTTTCGGGTGCGGGCAGAATCATTCCACTTTGGTTCGTCTCCAGTGTGTGTGTGTGACTGCTGGAACAGACCCAAGGAAGCCTTCCACTTTCAATCTGACAATATTGTGAAATGGCTTAATAAGAGAGCTGCTTCATAATTCAGGCAAATCAGACACTGTCTCAGTTCCAAGCTGAACCCTCTTATGCTTGTGAGGTAGCGGGGGTGGTGGTGTTGGTGTTGGTTTTTTAAGAAGGACAAAAAGGAGATATGGAGGCTGCCTTTGGGAAGCTGAATCCTGCTGGGTGTGCACACCTCTCTCTCTCTCTCTCTCTGTGGTACGGCTTGGATTTCCAAATTTTGTTTCACTTTCAATTCACCAGCTTTCTTCAGAGAAGGTGCTGTTCACCCAGCCTACCTGCACTTTCATGGATGCCACGCCTGCCTCTGTGTTTACAGTGATTCTTTATTTGAGGTAGGATGAGCCTTTTTGGCCAGAAAACAAATCGAATTCCTTTAGTCCACCATCAGGCAATGCTGTTATTAGGACCAAAAAGCATGCACACGATGAGGAACAGGCTTTTGAGATCTCCCGATCACTTCACCAGGCTAGGTTTCAGCCACTTTCACCCACCCCTGCTCACATGTCCCCAGTTATAGGCATTTTGGGTTGATTTTTGCATGTTGGGATTTTGCTTATGGACTAGCACAGTGAACTTGTTTTTAATAGCATAAAGCAGATTTCTTTGTCGAGTGCCAGTCTCTGAGGAGCAAACACTAGAAAACAGGTTTTTGGCTCCTTCTAGCGGCACGCCAGACCCACCAGGCTGGCTACTAGCTTCAAGGTTTCCATTGCATCTTGATCAAATATTATTTTCGCTTCAATGTTTACACTGCTGTCCACACTCAAAACTGTAGTTAAAAAGCTTATTAATGCACCATCCATCTAAATGACGTTAAGTACATCTTTGCTCACCCAATGAACTCCGCCCTCAAAACTAGCGCTGCACCTCTCCCTGAAGCATGGAAAATTTCAGTTGCAAAGGGAAAGCTTCCAGAAATGCTAGGGCAAGCCAGGACAGCTGCTAAAACACAGAACACCTCACTGTACTGATCTGACAGTGTACAGGCTTGGCCTAATGTCCTGATGAAACAAGCAGTGACATCATGTCAAGGGCAATGATTCTCAAGTGTGCGAAAATTGAAAGCACTTTTTAAAAGGGTCACCTGTTTTCTTCTGATTCAGTGTTTATTTAGCCTTGGGCTGAAACACTGAGAGCACAACATGGATTTTGTTGATCAATTACAATTCAGATGACTCAGTTTCTACCTTTTAAAATGGCCATGATTTGAAATGAGCAAGGGCTGAAGAAACCAATCAGTGGATCTGTCTTTAATATCCTTTTGTCCCTGTGTGAGGGCGTGCCTAATGTACATCATCATTATCTTAGAACTGCACAGCTGGATCTCACAGACGATTGAATGAAGACTGAATGATCTTGTGAGATCATGGACAAGCTGTTTGTGCTACTTCAACATAAATCTAATTAATTGCAAATGCTTTATTTTCTGTTTGAGCCATTCAGGCAAAATGGAAGTACATGTCACAATGGCATCCGGCACTCCAAGCCTATGTTTCGTTTATAATGCTAATCCAGGCGTGGGAAGGACATCTTGGAGAGGAGAATTAGCAGGTGGGGTTGTCTGCTTCTGTCCTTCCATCTGATAGATTTCACTGGTTTCCTGGATACGGTAAACCCTCCCTGCCCTCGGCTCGGTCCTGCAGTTAGAAGAAAGCTGAACATGTAGTAAACGTGGCCGTGAGGAGTCACTTCTGTGGTACAATCACCCAGGGTGAGGGGAAAATTTTGTGCAGAGCTTCAAGGGCACAATTGCTTGCTTTTACTAAAATCCCCATACTGTCTCGGGTATTTGGGGGGTTTATAGTCCAAAAAAATAGACATACCTAACTTTTCCAAACTCTGGGGTAACTGGATGAGAAATAAACTGGGTTTCTCTACCTTTAATGCTTGCAGGAAAGGAAATTTCAGCAGGTGCAGCTTTTAATGCAAGCTGCACCTTCTGCAATTCCTTTCTCTTTGCAACAGTTCAAGGTACAGGAACATTCTCCTCTTTTTCATCTGGTCAACCTACACTTGTTGGATTCCCAGAGGGGAAAAGGCCCTCCACTTCCACTGAATTATTCTTCTCCCCTTTCCTCAGTTGTTTTCTCCTCAGCTAGACAGTAACTTTGGAAGTAAAGCTGCAGGTCAAAATGGCCAGGCCCAGCTTTTTCTACTACAAGGTGAAGCTAGAACTGATTTTAAAAAGCTGGACTGTGTGTCATTGTTGTTGACATTGGTGTTGCAGCTGAATCTGGCATTTTCTCGCTCTGGTGCCAGAATAACTTGGTTATTATAAATATTCATCTCTCTCTTAGTCTTTCTCTCTTTTTATGCTCAGTTATATAATATATTTGATTCTGAAGGAAATCAACCCTGAGTGCTTACTGGAAGGACAGATCCTGAAGCTGAGGCTCCAATACTTTGGCCATCTCATGAGAAGACTCCCTGGAAAAGACCCTGATGTTGGGAAAGTGTGAAGGCAAGAGGAGAAGGGGACGACTGAGGACGAGATGGCTGGACAGTGTCATTGAAGCCACCAACATGAATTTGACCAAACTCCGGGAGGCAGTGGAGGACAGGAGGGCCTCGCATGCTCAGTCTAGTCCATTGACAGGAGGGCCTGGCATGCTCTAGCCCATTGGTTTACAAAGAGTCGGACACAACTAAACAACAACATATAGATATACACTGGTATCCATGCACTAGGCAGGACAATGGCTAGGTCGAGTCTTTGGCCAACATATCCTTAGAAGGGGAGAATAAAATATGTCAAACAGGCTTAAGTTCCTTATATTCACTTATTATCCATTATATATCTTGAGATCATGCAAGTATGGATGTGGGAAACATATTTCCTGAGGTGTGTTCTATTTTTCTCATGCATACATCGCTTGGAGGCCCTCAAAAAGAAAACCACATTTTGGCAACATTTCTCTGTGCTTTTAAGCTGCTTCATCCTATTTCCCTATATCTTGATAAAAATAAATACAGGAATCACTAGCTGAATTGAGTCAAACAATGGAAAAATGCAGTTGTATGTTGTAAACATCCTGGGGAGGAGGAAGATTAAAAAATATTTATTTGTGGAGCCGGAGCGTCATCTGCAAATGGATAAGCAACTTCTGGGGTGGGTGGGAAACACTGGATATACTCCAAACCCATTGGGAGCTGCATTGCACTGGAATTTGGCAGTTGTGCTGTTGTTCTTATGTGCTATCAAGTTGCCTTCCAACGTATGGCGAGCTTATAAGTGGTCTCCAAAATGTTCTGTCCTCATCTGCCCTGCTCCACTCTTGTAGACTCAAGCCTATGGTTTCTTTTAGGAATGTGGGTGGGAAACACTGGATATACTCCAAACCCATTGGGAGCTGCATTGCACTGGAATTTGGCAGTTGTGCTGTTGTTCTTATGTGCTATCAAGTTGCCTTCCAACGTATGGCGAGCTTATAAGTGGTCTCCAAAATGTTCTGTCCTCATCTGCCCTGCTCCACTCTTGTAGACTCAAGCCTATGGTTTCTTTTAGGAATTCAGACCATCTGTTGTTGTTATGTGCTATCAAGTCACTTTCCAACGTATGGCGACCATATAAGTGATCTCCAAAATGTTCTGTCCTCAACTGCCCTGCTCTGCTCTTGTAGACTCAAGCCTATGGTTTCCTTTAGGAAGTCAGACCATCTTGCATTGGGTCTTCCTCTTTTCCTGCTGCCTCCCACTTTTCCCCGCATTGTCTTTTCCAGAGAAATCCTGCCTTCTCATACTCAAAGTAGGGTAGCCTGTTTCAGCAGTTTTTGCATCCAGGCCCACTTTTCCCCGCATTGTCTTTTCCAGATAAATCCTGCCTTCTGATAAAGTAGAGTAGCCCCAGTTTCAGCAGTTTTTGCCTCCAGTGATAAGATAGTTCAGCCATGATTTGATCTAGGATCCACCTAATTCTGGCAGCCCAGGGTATCCAAACGGCTCTCCTTTAGCACTGCATTTCACATGACTCAATTGGGCAGCTACCCATCAAAGTTTGGTGATGATGGCAGCTATAAATAGCATGGGGGGGCAACCTAAGACCCTCCAGACTTCACTACAGCATACTCTCTTTGGCCTAGGCCAACAGACTGAGAAATGAGAAATTGTGGGTCTTGTAGCCCAAAATTTGCACAGCTAGAATTTGTCCACTGCTGCAAAATGGCTTCTTGCAGCTCTCTGTGGTGGAAGCAGCTGCCGAAGCATCATCCCTTAACCACAGAGCCTTTGACGAAGTGACAGGGAGGGAAGAGGGCCGCTGCTATAATTTTTGTGGGGCTTGTGGTGATGGCTGCTGCCACTACCACTGATGGGTTGTATGTGTGTCATGGGTGGCCTCAAGCCTTCTTTTCCAAGTTTCCGCCTTCAGGGCAAACAGATCTCCTGTGGAAAAACAATTGCGTGAGTAGCTGGCCTGGCCGCTTTCCCTAGTGAACTGGAGAAATACAGCTGTGATTATTCAAGAGGGAGCAAGAATGCTATCACTAATTAATGTTATTATTAAGGGTCGTTCTGGCACTTCTCTTGTGTATGCTGGAACTTTGCACTGGATCTCATGCTTTTCATGGTCATTTGGCTGTCTAGTTTACAATGATGTATTCCCCCCCCCTTTCTACCCAAGAATGTTTGTACATCTGTCAACTGGCTGAGGAAAACACTTCATGCAAGAGTTTTGGTCCATGTTTTGCCCATCTCTGCCTTTTCTTTTTTAATCATCCAAATGCATTTGGGTTCATACAATTGGCCACTCCTGTGCTGAGGGCTTCGAAGACACCAGGTGGGCTTAAGTCAAAGTAACCCACAAGGACTGACTCCTGTCCTCTGAAGATGCTGGCCACAAAGACGGGCGAAACGTTAGGAAGAAAAACCTCCAGAACATGGCCAAACAGCTTGGAAAACCCACAACAACCATCAAACCCACAACAACGAGAGCAAGAACTAGTTCGTAGCACCTTAAAGAGACAAGGACATGCCTGAAAAACAGGCTCTGGGCTGTAAGATTCTTGTTGTTGTTGTTATGTGCTGTCAGGTTGGAATCAACTTATAGTGACCCTAATAGGGCTTTCAGGGTAAGAGATATTTAAGGAATGGATTTAAGAGTTGCACACACCCAGTAATCTTCCATGGCTGAGCGGTGATTGGAACCGAGGCCTCCTGAGTCCTAGCGTGTCACTCTATCAACGACACCACACGGCTGACGAGAAAGTTGAATTAACAGATACAGTGGACCCTCAATGTACGGAATTAATCCGTATTGGAACAGTGGCTGCAGGTCGAGAAGTCTGTAGGTCAAGGCTCCATTGACCTACAATGCATTGAAAACCGATTAATCCCATAACTGGCTGGTTTTGTTCCATTTTGGTTATTTTCCGGTCTGTAGGTCGATTCTCCAGCTGCAAGTCAAACCTAAATTTTACGGCCAGAGAAGTCTGTAAGTCGAAAAGTCTGTAAGTGGAGCCATCTGTAAGTCGAGGGTCCACTGTATGGAGAAAGAGTCAAAAAGGATTTTGGAACACCCTCTACTGAAGACACTGGGGAGCCAGAAGGTGGAATGGCAACTTGGGATTCAAACTGCTCTGACTATTTCACCTAAATGGATCAATAGATGTAGTTGCTCACAAGCTGATCAAAAAATGAACATGTCTTAGCGGAGCAACGTGACTGCCACAAAAAGAAAAAGCTAATGTGATTTTTAGGTGGCAAGAATGAACTACGGATCACGAAGTGTCATGGTTCCACTTGACGCTGCTCTACAGACCTTTTCTGGTACAGAGTGTCCAATTAAGGATACCACATTAATATTGCTTTTCCCCCGGTAATGACACATACACATAAATATGATAGCAATCATACAATTTTATTAGAAGCAGTATCACCAGAGGAAAACACTCCAAACCCTTGAAAGGAGCTCCCATATATGACGAAGTCAAAACAATGCACATAACAACCAAAACTTTGAAGCTCTCAGAATGGAGCCAAGGTAAAAGGGCGTTCAGAAAGTGTAATTTTCAGACCGTTACAATTGTACTTTCCCACCAAGTTTTTAGTACATTGACTTTTTGTATGGGAGGAGAAAGCAGTGCAACAGAGCTTCCAAAGATCAGCACATAACTTGACTCCTTATAGCTCCGGCCACTTGTCTTGACAAACATGGTGCCATCGAACAAGAAGGAGGATATTATAATGAGCATTCAAAGATATTTTGCAATTTGTTACCTAGCCACAAGGAGCCCAGATGCACTGAGGGGAGTGTGCTAGTTCCCTCCTGCCCTGCCTGCATTGTTTTTTATAGTCTGTAGAGAGAAAGGCTGTCTGTCTGTGTGGATTCTCCAGGTTATGCACAACATGACAAAGCAAGCTCAGACAGAAAGGCTACAAGGGTAGAGCTCCCTCCCTCTTTCAGATAGTCACCTTCACATGTTGAAAACAGCGAGTCAGCAAGATCCTTGCAATACGTGGGGGCTCATACACTTAGGCAAGAAGTCAACGAGGGATGCTCAAAACATATTGAATCTAGGCTAGAAAATGTTTACAGATGTTGTGTAGATGGAACAGATCTCTAAAAAGTTGACGTCGATGAAAACAGTTCACAGCTTGGTTCGAAGACTTTCACAACAACCAAACTTCAATATTCAATTTTGAAAGGATACTCCTTGTGATTGATGCACCTAAAGAAAGAAAGGAATTAATCACCGATGTGAACCAAGTTTTGTTCGTGGTTTTGTCTGATAGCTCAGTGGTTTAGGTATCTGGCTGGGGAGTCAGATTTTGGGAGTCTAATTCCTCACTGTGCCTCCTGCAAGTATAGCCAGTCTGTGTGGCCTTGGGTGAGCTGCACAGTCCCAGGGAATACCCAGAAGAAGTAAATTACTTCTGAGTATTCTCTACCTGGAAAACCCTGAAAAGGGTCGCCATAAGTCAGAACTAACTTGATGGCACATTATTATTATGCATGCTTGGGATATATGGAGAAAACACAAAATATGTACCTATACTGTAAATCGTCACAGTATTTCTTGACACTGCTTAGCCATGGCATGGAGCTAAACACAGCCTACTAGCCATGTTGATCTGTCTACAAACCTCTAGGTTTTGCTCCTTCTTTGAAACTGCGAAGATTAGAACGCTGTCAAGCCACAATATATGGCTTTCAAGTCACATGTTGTGGCAGCCTATCATGCCTAGTAGATGTCTACTTGCAGCACAAATAAAACAGAATTTTGCATTTTAATGTACGTATTTGTTGAAAAGTTCACATTTGGAAGGAGTTTATGATTTTACTGCACTGTTCAAAAATGAAACTTGAAATCTGCTAGGGCCTGATGAAGTAAATCTACCGAGGGTTATCTCCTCAAGATAGTTCTATGCTTTTCAGCACATGCATCCATTAATCTTGAGACAGCAACCAAAACTAAACTGTGGTCAGCAGACTCAGTTTCAAGTTGAGGCTAAACACGGAATGTTCACAACTAAGCCTGAAGGGTGAAAGTCTTGATAAAGCAGCAGCAAAGCAAACACTTCCAACTTACAAGAGCTTTTCTGCTGCCTCATTTCAGAGATGCGGAAACTACTTTGGCGGTCTGCTTTGATATACCAGCATTCCAGAATTTAAAGCCAGCTGGCCACGAGACTGCTCTGACAGGAGACCGATAACTCATGACACTGGAAACAGGAGATCTGATCTGGGACTTACTGTTTATTTAGCCACAATAAGCTTTCTATTGGCCTGACGAGTGATTATGTAGAATAAATGAGCGCAACTAAGTAGAGGTCATAAAGAAGCATCACTCCTCTGACAGCAAATTCCTTTCATGCCCAATATGTCTTTTAAAAACACCCAGAAAGGGAAGCAGATCGCACCCTAGATTACACCCAAGATTTCCCATCAGAATGGCCAGGAGCCAAAATTCTACCTCCAAAAGTGTCTCTTTAAAACTGAGGTATTGGATGATGGTTGTGATCCATATTCAGATAGGGGTACATGGCTCTTTCTTTTTTTAAAAAAAAATAAGTTTTTTTTTGTCTTCTAAATTGTAGAGCCACCTTTGCCTATCTTTACCAGTACAGACCTAGAGGAAAGTAATTAGAAATATGCTTATCTCTTTGTTTCTTCTAAAAAAAACCCAGGCTATTTTGGTTGATGGGGGAAGGATTAGTTGTCTAACAGTATTTTTTTCCTTTTAGTTGCTACTTTTAGCTTGGACCATTTAGTCTTCTATTTGCAGTCTTCTAGTAAACAATCCAGTTAGATGTTGGTGCCTTGGCTATCTATAATCCAGTAACACAGATAGCAGCAACAACAGTTTGTAATACAATTTATTTAAATGTTAAACTTATTTAAAGGTGCCAAATTAATTCCTTTTTAAATAACCAGCTGAAGAACTTTAAATGATCCTTGCCAGTCACCGAACAAAAGTAGTACCATTCTACATTGATCTTGACATCCGACCCAGGCGTTAGTGTCGCCATCCCTTTTATTACTATTTTCAAACGCTACAACTTACGAGGACAGTGCACACGCTCTCCAGTTCCTGTTGAAGCTGAGGATGGTTTCCATGTCTTGCTTAGATAACTCGAAGTCAAACACCTGGCAAGGAGGAAAAAAAAGTATTCCCAAATAAAGCTAAGAACCCAAAGATTCCTAAGACATGCAGCTGAGACAATTTATTACATGAATGTATTAAGTGCATAGTGCCTTGCCCCTTCCTCCTGCAAGCTAACTATAGCATATATAGATGTGGTCTTAATTTACCCTCCCTAAAAATCCTGTGATGTAGATATGCTGAGATAGAATTTGTGGCCCACGGTCACACAGTAAAGAGGAGCAGGAGCCTTGTGGCACAGTAGTTAAACTGCAGTCAAGACCCGCTCACAACAGGCTCAGAGAACCAGCTTGAGGTTGACTCAGCCTTCCATCCCTCTGAGGTCAGTAAAATGATAACCCAGCTTGCTGGGGCAGTAAGGAGTTGTTTACATAATTAGGTTGTAAAGTGTCCAGATAATGCTTTAGCACAGGGGTCTCAAACTCAATTTACTTGGGGGCTGCTGGACGCAGAGTCTGGGTGAGGCTGGGCTGCATTAGATTTCCCGCTAAGTGGAGTAAGAGCCTGAGGAAGCCGCCCAGGAGTTTCCTTAGCCCGGCTGGGGCTCCAAGGAGGAGAAAGAGGGGTGTGGAAACCCTCGTAGCCGGCCATGACCCCCTCCGGCTCCTTCTTCACCACCACCACCACCACCACCACCAGCAGGACAAAGAAGCAGAGAAGGGAGGGAGCGCAGGGGGGGAGGGTAGGACATAAAATTTTAAAAAAACCTCACAGAATCGCCTTGCCAAAGGAGAAGCTGGGGAGTGAGGCAAGGCTTTTTTGACTCTTGACAGCAGAGGATGCATGGGTGGTTCAGGGGGGGCACGCAAGGCAGGGGCCATAAACTATCGTCCGGCGGGCCGCAAATGGCCCCCAGGCCACATGTTTGAGACCCCTGCTGTAGATTGTCTGTAGTACAGATAATCATTACAGTGGTGCGTCACATAGCGATCGCTGTGCATAGTGACAAAATTGCTTTGTGATGGATTTTTTGCCATCGCAAAAGCGATCGCTTTGCGATGGACCCTATGGGGTATTTTCGCTTTGCGATAATCGCAGGGAAGCAGTCATCGCAAAGCGCCTGTTTTCGCACAGCTGATTGGCAGTTTCAAAATGGCTGCCAGGTAAACAAAATGGCCACCCACTGTTTTCAGGGATGGATTCCTCGCTTTAGAGGCACCGAAAATGGAGGCACTATGGAGGATCTTCGCTTAAAGGTGAGTTTTAAGCGCATAGGAACGCATTAATCGAGTTTTAAAGCGTTTCTATGGCTTATTTATTTCGCTTAGCGATGTGGGCTGCATGTTTGAGACCCCTGCTTTAGCACTATTAGGCAGTATATAATTCAAAACAACAACACCAAAGGTGCATTTCTTTTTGATTTTGTGGAGGCTTGGTGAGGGAGGGGAACATTTCTTTCTCATCCTTTGCTGTGTCATATGAAAGAAATACCAGGAAAGGAGACAAACAGTAGGCATGAAGCAGGTGCTACAGTAAATTTGTCCTAGCGAACCCAACCCAATCAAATGTAAACAAACAAAATGAACAAAGGACAACATTTAACACAACCAATTTGCTCCTTTTTAGCATTAACTTAGAAATTAGCACAGGCAAGCTTGTATTCCAGCAACGAAAGCTGGAATCCTGTTGCACAACGTTACATCACATAACGTGGATGAAGTTATCAACTGCAGCCATATTGGGGGGGAAGAATACCCAGGTTCTCAGAGTTGCTAGGAATCCCCTTCATCCTGATGAAGGGTTTGGAAGCTGCAGAACGGGGGAGGGGGGAATCTTTAATCCCTGCTAATTGCACAATTGGTTGGGTATTCCAGTGAGCTGGCGCAACTTGCTGTGGAGGCAAGGTTTGGGAATCTGATTCTCCATTGTGCCTTGTAGGAGAAAAGACAGCCTGCATGGTCTCAGGCATGGTACATGGTGACCTCTAGAACAAAGGAATGATAATCCACTTCGTAGTAGTAGTACTGTAGTAGTAGTAGTAGTAGTAGTAATAGTAGTAGTTATTTTGCGTTCACTGACCCAATAAGACTTCTAAGTACTTTGTACTCCAAAAACCCTAGAAGTGTTGACAGCAGGTAATTAATTTTATCTACACAAGATACAACTAATCCAATCAGGAGCTGGTGCTATTTTTTTATCCCACCTTGAAGTTTTCCTCAATACGTGCTGGGGTGATGGATTTGGGAATCACAACCACATTTCTTTGGATATGAAACCGGATCAGGACCTAAGAGTCAGAACATGACCAAACAAAATTAGTCTTGTTCAACCAAAAAATTATTTGTACTTACACATGAGTTGTCACATGTAGAACCTTGCAAAAGAAACTGAGCAAAATGGTACCTTTCCCACACTATCCTGGTGTCTTCTCCAGAATGCTCAGATCCTAATCGCCACATCTTGAGCAGAGGTTACTTGTGGAAGGACCCAAAGCATATTGCCTGCACCTCATTTTTCCTGTCACACATCAGTTGCCATTTTTTAAAAATAGAAATCAAGACCCCTGAAATCCCCCACAACTTGGGAAGAATAGTTTTTAGGTTCTGCATTTACAACTAATGTTTACAACCATACCATAACCACATGCATTGAGAAGAAAAAAATAACACCCCACCTTTGATTACAAGTTAACCACTCTGACTGTAATAAACCAGAAAAATCTGAACACTTGGAAGCATCACAATGTTTGTTTTATTCTTGGCTTATTAAAGCAATTATTGTCTACAGAATATATTGTGTAGTAGACATTTCAACAATGACCACCACCACCACCACAACTGTTCCAAGAAATACATGTTTTCCCTCCTCCAATTTAACCTTGAATCAATCCCAAAGAGGAAATTAGAACGTTGGTGAACACAGGAAGCTCCCTTGTTCCAGGTGAGAGTGTTTGTCAGGGACTGATCCTGAGACCTCTGATATTCAGAGCAGGCTGTGTATTACTGAGCTATCCTCACTCTCTGAATCCTGCATCTCTATCTTAGAGTCTCCTCCTCTCATAACATAAGGCCTCTGAGATGGCACCTTCTTTTACTGTTCGCTTCCAAAGGAAAAGCACCATCTTAGCTATGTCCCAGTCTTTTTAAACAACTTGCATTTTAAAGCAACAAAACCTGATCTCTTTGTTTAAGCTGAAGTTTGACCAGCTAAAGAGTTTTCAGAAAAAGACTGAGACTAGGAAGGGCAGCAATGATGGAGATTCTCAAGTGCAAGGATGTGTCACTAGAGACCAAGGCCAAGATCATCCACCCTCTTGTATTTCTGATCACCATGTATGGGTGTGAAAGCTGGACAGTCAAGAAAGCCGAGAGGAAAAAAAATTGATTAGTTTGAAACATGATCTGGAGGAGAGTTCTGCGCATACCCTGGATGGACAGAAAGATAAACACGTGGGTCCTAGTTCAAATGAAGCCTCAACTCTGGAGGCCAAAATGATGAAACTGGGGCTGTCCTACCTTGGGCACATCATGAGAAGGCAGGATTTCTCTGCAAAAGACAATAATGCTGGGAAAGATGGAAGGTAGCAGGAAAAGAGGAAGACTAAACTATGAGATAGTCTGACTCCCTAAAAGAGCCCACGGGCTTGAGTTTGCAAGAGCTGAGTGGGGGCAGCTGAAAGATGGGACATTCTGGAGATCCCTCATTCTTAGGGTCACCCTAAATCAGGGGCACCTTGATGGCACATAACAAGAATTTTCATTTTTGTGGTCTGGTAGAAAACGTTTGGGACTCCATTTTACGGTTTTTAATCATCCTTTCATATTTTAATATTAACTTTTATGCTTTGCAAGCCCACCTGAGAACATGTAAATCTTCTGAGGAGGAAGCAAATCTAATAACACAGCTACACAAATTCAGCAACAGAGTCAGGAAAGGCAATCCCTGATGTTATGTAAGTGGTTTCTATACGTCTTTTCCTTTAGCCTGCCTTCTGCCTTGCCCCCTCCCGCCAACCCTCTTCTGTTTTCTGCCAACTGATAGGGATCTTCAGATATGTTCACACACACACACACCAGACACACCTGAGGCACCGTTTTATTGTGCTTTGCAGCAATCTCTTTTATTTTGGGATCATCCAAGAGAGATGGGTCTTCTGGCTTGGCCCTAGGGGGATAAAGGCCAACAAAACAACAACAATTACTGCAATTCAGGGTAGTAAGAAACCCTATATGTAATCAGAACAGAATATTTATCAAGCAGACTTATTGGTTGCAGCAGAAGACAGCGCTCTTGTACTCTTCACTGGAGCAATTCATCAAGGGCAACTTTTTCCACTAGTGCAGTAGTTCTCAACTTTGTGCCCTCAGATGTTCCTGGACTAAAAATCCCAGGAATCCTGGCCAGCACAGCTAGCGATGAAGGCTTCTGGGAGATGTAGTCCAAAAATATCCGGGGACCTGAGGTTCGGAACCATTCCACTAGCGTGACACTAACTGGAGTTAACATCTTCTATACTGTACACTTACTAAAAGTATCGAGATAGTGTAGCTCTACAGCTAAGAGACTGAGTTAAAATGAGAAGGCCCACAGTTCAAATCTCACCTCTGCCACAAACCCACTCGGTGGTCTGAGGCAAACTACACTCTCTCGACCTCAAGGTTCCCATCTGCATTGGGAAGGAGAAAAGTCTAATTTGCTTTGCAAATTAGTGGTGGTCAACATCTATTAGTTGAGGAGCTACAGAGATTCTCCTGAACCTTCTTGAGGTGGGTAGGTGGGTGGGTGGTTTACAGCCTTACTCCTAGGCCACTGAAATCTAGAACATGAAAAATCAAACATTTCTCTTTTTAAAAAAGCGGCAGGAATGCAAACATCGTTTTTAAGCCAAATCATGATTCTGGGAGTCATGTGGCCTGAAAGAAATGGTGTGCACTTCATGTGTCCCTTGTTTTAAAATAAAAAGGCAGCTTTTCATGCCACCAGTTTAGCAGCATGCTCCATTCAGTGGTATGAGGCACAGGTAGTCTGGCCCATTCCCACTACTCGTTATATTCCTGTTTTAAAGATTACAACTAGATTGTTCATGTCAGGGTGCACAAAAATCAATGGTGTTTTTTTTAAAAAAAAATCAAATTGATTGTAATTGTCCAAAAAAAATCTGATTTTTTAAAAAATTTAAATCAAATCCACCCTGATTCATGCAAAGCACTTTAAGCGCTTAGATGTTCAATACAAATGTCATAGGAGCTCAGTTCTGCTTTGCCTAAAAGCCTGCTACCAAAAACCCCTTCCCTTTCTCATAATACCATCAGCCATTATTTAGAACTGAGGCTTTGATCTCCAGGACTGCTTGGTATGGATCAATGATCCTTTAATCCGTTTTATTATCACTTATTCTCTCCAACAGGATAGTTAAAGGACAGGAAGTCAAAGCTAGAAAGCTCTGACCTCAAGGCACATTTTGTCAAACACGGAGAAAGAAAGCGGCCCAGCCAGTGTTCTCACCATGGTCTGTCCGGAGAGCCAAGGGGACTATAGGCTGTGACAGAGATCCCTCTGGACTGACAGTAATTGATCAGTTTTTCCTGAGTAAGGTATGGGTGACACTCAATCTGCAAGACACAGGGAACAATAGCTTATCTGACATGCGTTTAAAAATCTCTTATCGACTTTTCATATTTAAGCCCCACCTTTCCAAAAAGAATTCAAAAAGCCTGAAATGAAAACAAATGAAAAAGTTAAAAAGAAAAGGGGAAAAAACGGCACTCCAGACTAGATCAACTACACTTGTAAGAGTAAGTTCCTTGGCAAGTTTCTACAACTACTTGCTGTCAAAGAGGCGAACTGCATTTTAGCTTCAAAAATGGCTTGTCTCTTCAAGGTGTTATCTATTTGTATTCTCGAAGGCTTTCATGGCTGGGATCTGATGGTTGCGGTGAGTTTTTCCAGCTCTTTGGCCGTGTTCTGAAGGTTGTTCTTCCTAATGTACACAAGAGACTAGCTAACGACACCCATGAATCACAGTGAAAGATCATCTCTCCCCCCCTTATCACAACAATACATGCACAACAAAAACACACTGATCACCATAATCACCCAATCTCCTGAAAAGGACAAAAGCTGTTCCCACAGCTATAAAAACTCAACTATCCAACAAACTGCAACACAGCACGGACAGAATTCTGACTCCTGTCCTCTGAAGATGCCAGCCACAGAGACTGGTGAAACATTAGGAAGATCAACCTTCAGAACAGGCCAAAGAGCTCAAAAAAACCCACAGCAACCATGCTATCTGTTAAACAAAGACCACTATGTTTTGAAGGAGTTGTTGATTCTCTCCTGCAGACCATCCAGAGTGCAAACCCTGTTCTATTATTAGGATTTTTTACTTGGGACTCTTCTGTTACGCTGTAATACAGAACAGCAGCTGGCCCAAAAGAAGTCACACAAGGGAAGATATCATTAAAAGACAATATTAAAACTCACAACAATAAGTAAAATAAGAACCCCATGAGATCAGTATCTGTTGTTCCACTTATCCACAGTCTAAAAATATTGAACATATTAAAAGAAAAAAAATCCAGGAGAAACTATTTTCACATGTATTACCAGAACTGGCCACTAGAGTGAGTCAGAGACTGTGCTACAAGTACTTGTTTGTGAAGAATACATTGCATGGTCTCTGGCACTTTCTAGTGACCAGTTCTATTTTCTCTTTTACCATTATTATGTTTTTACCATGAAGAGAAAACAGACTTATACAGTGGTGCTTCGCTTAATGGGTGGCCCATTTAACGACGAATCCGTATAGTGACGATTTTTTGGTGATCGCAAAAGCAATCACATTGCGATGTTTTTAATGGGAAAATATCACTTTGCAATGATCGGTAAGCTGTTTCGCTTACCGATTTTCGCATAACGATGATTTTCCAACAGCTAATCAGCTGTTCCAAAATGGCTACCGAGTAAATAAAATGGCCGCCCGCTGTGTTTTTGCCCAGATTCCTCGCTTACCGGGCAGCGAAAATGGCGGCCGTATGGAGGATTTTCGCATTAAGGTGAGTTTTTTGCCCATAGGAACGCATTAAATGGGTTTTAATGCATTCCTATGGGCTTTTTTATTTCGCATAGCGACAAATCCATACAGCGACGATTTTGGCTGCACGGATTATCGTCGCTATGCGGGGCACCACTGTATTTGTCATGATCATATGGATCTTGTCCAACTTATGACTCAGTGGAAGGCAGTTCTCCAACATGAATGGAAATAAACAACCAGGCTCAAGGCCCTACTTGTGCATTGTACATGTGCATGGCCAACAAAATAAAAAAATAAAGAGAAGACCTGCCTATTCTGAGAACTTGGGGTAGTTGTTATTCTAGTAAATTCCCACATCATGGCTCTCCTTGGAAGTTTTTTCTAAATACAAGGGTGAGTTCAATGAGGGAAAGGTGAGTTAAGGTGCATGTGGTCCAGAAGGAAAGAAATCCAAGAGCAGGGAAGCCTACAAAAATGAAATACCTTCTCTTGCTCTTCTCCCTTTGTTTATTTATGTTTTGTTCTCACTGATGGCTTTGCTGAGCAGTTTGGATTTTAGACAAACAAGTGTCATACCAGTTCCATAAATATCTGCCAAGAACCAACCAAGGTCTTCCTTGTGTTTCAATTGTGCTACCCTGTCTTTGTAGTATTTACCAGCCTAAAAAGAAAAACCTTGATAAATGTGCCTGAAACAGCAGAACAGCCAAGGACTTCTGCACTGACCTTGCTTTTGTATGGTTAATGAGAAACAAACCCCCAGAAATGAAATAAGTGAAGGTTTTCCGGACAGGGAGACAAGACTGGATTGTTTTACTCCATGAGGAAGGGAAAGGGGCTTTTAGAGGGTCTTCTGGCTCAGGAGATGCAAATACTGGTTCGGCAACATTCCCTCTAATTTACCAGTGTGCTGTGTGTGGGGGCTTGCAGCTCAAGGAAGACTTATTTTGTCTCGTGTACACACAAGCAGACACACACACACAAGAAAACAAAAGTCTTTATTTACTCTCTCTCTCTTTCTGTGTTTCTTTATATACTTTACATCTTCCTTCATATCCCTGTATACATATTCCCTCTCTCTCTTTCTTCCTTGATTCCTTTTTAATCCTTGGCAAACAGACAAAAAGTGCCTTACTATCTTGCACCCATATTTTTATTTGTACCTTGTTTTCCTGGTAAGCTTACAGGATGCGTGCCAAACTGTACTGGATAGAGTTACACAGCTACAGAGAGCTTATTTGCAGCTCTGCTGTAAGACCCAAGGAATACGGTGGCAACTTGTTTAGAGCCCCATGGTTAGATTTTGAGTACAGTATTAATAATCAAAGTGCACATAGATATCACAGAACAGACTTGGGGGGACATTTGTTTTCTTACCATCCAGAAATTCAAAGGCTTGTCTGAAAAATATGAAGTGGTTACTATGGCAAAGCATCTATGCAGGGATATGGAACCAGCCAAGCACATGTCCTATATTTAGAATGTAATATTACCCTGAAGCAAGCTCACCTCTGAGACACGATGCTGAACTTTTGCATACACAGTTATCTGGGACTTACTTCTAGGACAGACTATACACCAGCACAACCATCCTTTCATACACACTGTCAGGATGGCTGAGGAACATACCTTATGTGTGGGTGTCTGCCAAAGTTATCATTATTTTTTAGGATTCCTTCACGGTGGGGAAACTTACAAAATCATCAATTTACTATATATAATGCCAGTCAATAACAATGACCTCTGGGTGCTTTATATAAATACACTGTATTAGTCAACTGTTTCCCGAGATTTCCACCATAAAACAGTAACAAAACGACTGCATTCTGCATCTCTTTGGCCAATGCAAAAGCATAAAATCCTTAAAAAAACAACTTCAGAGTTCTCATATTAAAAATGTTGGCAGACAGAATAAAAGCAGACCACCTGCAAATATGCAGCACATAGGGTGGTTCAGAACACCAGAATACATGAGGGTTTTGGTTTTTTTGAGGGGAGGATTTGTGTCAGAATGACACTACCATTCCAGAGGAGGTTCTTTGAAAAGGGTACTACATCATTGGGATGTCACTACAGAAGTATTCTTCTTATAGCCAGCTATGTTAATTCTTTTAGCAGAGGAAGTTGAAGAAGAGGTTCAAATAAGAAGTGCACAGAAGAAGGCAAAACCTTTTTGTTGCATTGCTTAGTTCTATTTGAAACCAAGGAGCCAACAGAGCAGGGTTTTTCCCCCCATTTTCAACAAGAGTAAAACCAATTTGAAAGCACTCTCATCATTTTCAGGATGAGTATTTTATTTCTCTCTCCCAAGATAAACGGTTGGGAAAAACAAACAAACACTAGTTTGGCCCATTGGAATCTGATCCGTTGGCCGATAGGGACATATACTCACGGAGCATCCCTATTTGGCAGTGTCTGTGACATTACCACCAAGCCACAATATCACCATCATCATCATCTTAGAACTGCAGAACTGGTACAACATTTTGCTTGAGTAAGGTGAAGGATATGAATGTATAGGTGCATCTGCTTCTTTAAAGGGCATGCTTCTGCAGGTCCTACAGGTGCAATACAGAAAGCTGTTCTTGCTTTTATAGATGTTTTGTGAAAGATTCTGCCAAAGCTGTTGGACAGCTCAGTGGTTTAAGTGGGTTGGGAGTTCAATTCCCCACTATGCCTCCTGGACCGGGGGGGGAGGTCAGACTTGATGATCTATAAGATCCCTTCCAGCTCTGCAGTTCTAAGATTATTATTATTAAGTGATATGCTTTAGGTTGCAGTGATTTCCAAAACAGCCATTTTTTCTGTTAACAGTGAAAAGAAGACAGAACGTCCTCTTCAACAGCTCTGATAAGAACACAGCTCCACCGCACTTCTTACTCTGAAAGACTAAAAAGGGTCACGGAAATTATGCAACACAGAAACAGAAAACCAAAGCAGCCGTACATTAAAATGCCCTTGACCATTCCCATGTCCTTCCTCTATTGTACAATTATCTTGCCTTCCATTTATATCACTAGGCATACTACCTGATTATTTGCAGGCTTGTACTTCAAACCAGGCTTGTTCAATAACCTCTCAATCTGTTCGTGGTTGAAATTGGAAACGCCAATGGTTCTCACCAATCCGGCATCTACCAGCTCTTCCATTGCCTAAGGGCACACCAAAGGTCAAATAGAAAAGTGCCATAAGTCCTCTGACACCTTGAGAAGTGATTATAGCCTCTACTAACAGCATACATATACAGAAATATTGCACACTGGTGATGAAATAGATGCTTGGAAGTACATTACATTGGCACCATCCTTCTCTGCAACATATTATACAGCCACCTGAAGGATGATGTCATGGAGCGGTTGGAGGCTCCATCTGTTCCTAGATGTACCAATACATGAGACGACAGCATCTCATGTTCTGACTCGCTTCATTTTCCTCCCAATGTGGTTATTTACATGCAAAGAGGAGTTGTGATGTCTTAATTTGGAGAGTACTCTTTCGCAGTTTTCAATTTGTATTCTGCAGTGGTAAGAGTCCCAGGAGAGGTGCATCAAATACATATCCAGAACATGCTTGATCCTTTCCAAGAGATGAAATGCCTCCAGTTCTGTGACTCAGTCTTGGACAGAATCATGGCGGCACTTGTGCCACAGAGGAGAAAAGAACAGGAACTGAATTCCTCCCACTGAAGTTACAGTACTAGGATGTCACTTGTGATGTCGGACAAGTTAGCAGCATTAATGTGGACCTGTAGGTGACCACGGAGCAAAGGAAGGAATGATGTGGGCGATCACAGAACAAAGGGAAGGCAATTAGCATTCAGAGAGAAAACAGAAGTGTTGACAACAGATGTCCGAGCCAGTGGAGTTACAAGGCGATGCCCTGAAAACTCTTTTTATTAACATAGCACAGTTACATAGAATGTTGAAAGAATTCAGATAGGACATTAGTTACCTAACCGCCATTTAAGATTGGCCGGAGAAAGTCTTTGAACCCATGATCTAACTCTAAGGGAAAAGGCAGAATGAGTAAGTTACCCTGCACACACACACAAAATGGAGCACACAAGAAAGGAATAAGAAGTTAAAATTTTGAAACTCTTCATAACAACAACAAAATCCTTCCATACATGGAGAACAAATTGTTCCTCTGGATAGTGGGAGTTGGGGGTGGAGAAGGCACAGGTAGTGTGGTGTAGTGGATAAAGTGACAGACTAGGACTCTGAAGACCAGGGTTCGAATCTCCACTTTGTCCTGAAAACTCAGTGAGGAAGCGGAACTGATACAACCACTCCTTAAATATGCTGAAAGCCCTGTAAGTCGGTTCTGTTCTTGATGACACACAACTAACTAATGACTTGCACCAGGAAGTTCATCTTATTAGAGATGGGGGTATTTGTATATGACGTGGTGGCGCTGCAGGCTAAACCGCAGAAGCCTGTGCTGCAGGGTCAGAAGACCAAGCAGTCGTAAGATCGAATCCACATGACGGAGTGAGCACCCGTCGCTTGTCCCAGCTCCCGCCAACCTAGCGGTTCAAAAGCATGCAAATGCGAGTAGATAAATAGGGACCACCTCTGTGGGAAGGTAACAGCGTTCCGTGTCTAAGTCGCACTGGCCATGTGACCATGGAAAATTGTCTTTGGACAAAATGCTGGCTCTGTGGCTTGGAAATGGGGATGAGCACCGCCCCCTAGAGGCGAACACGACTGCACAAAAATTGTCAAGGAGAACCTTTACCTTTACCTTACAAAGCCCTCCGCACAGTTGGACTTAACGGAGGTCCAGCCCCTGGGACCAGACCGTCCACTCATGTGTTCGCTGCCGTTGGCAGCCTCGGCCAGCCTTCCAGTCGCTCCCAGAGCGCCGCTCTCTTTCTGCTCATCTGGCCATTTGGCAGCCGTGCAGGGAGATTCATTCTCCCTCCCCCTGCCTGGAGCTGGCTAGATGAGCAGAAAGAGAGCAGCATTCCAGGAGCGATTGGAAGGCTGGCCAAGGCTGTGCAGGGGTATTCGTGTTCGTATATGAATGCCCCATCTCTGATTTGCACACATACATATGTTTGTAAATGTTCTAAAGGGAATCAAAGTGGATTTTTTTTCATGGTGTTTAGAAATTCACACAGTGAAACAAATCCATCATTCAGTCTTAAGCTTGGCTTAACAAAATGGCTGCAAATCTAAAATACTCAGGAGACAAAACATACAGTACAACCTCAATGGCCACAGAACAGGAATGTTTGCAATGAACACCAACACGTCATGCAAAAGAGAATGCAGAATTTACATGACATTTCTGACAACAGATTAACATACCTCCCAAGTGTCTGCAATATTTGTGCCACTGGCTATTATCATGCCTTTTTCATCAGTAGGAAACAGTTCATCTCCAGCCTGTCAATGCAAAGCAAAAATGTAAATGAATTTTCTTCTGAATATATGAAGTCATCTCATAAAGAGTTATGTATTTGGTCCTTCCGAGCCTTGCTGCCCAATATACCTTGAAACATACGAACCCAGAGGGATACCTTATATAGAATGGGAGGATTGGCCCACAGACAACTTCCGTGTCATCTCAGAACAGCATAAGGGTTTCTAGGCTCAAAGGCAGGGTCTCCCCTGCCCGGTCTCTGGAGATGCCAGGTATTGAATGCAGAGCCTTCTGGGTGCAAACCATGTGCTCTAACACAATAGGTATCAGAAAAGATGACCAAGCCCAGTCCAACAGACTGAACTGGCTCAAAAAAAGTCACAGATTTAGCTTCCAAGTAAACATAAAAGATCAAAGGAAAACACATCCAGTGATCTTCAGGATTACAAATGGCACACTAATTACATTGCATATGGTGATATTCTCAATGTGATTACAATACAAAACATTCCACTTGTACTAATTGCTTAATCAACTTTTTGCTGTTCTGATGAACCAATTATAGGAAGCCACAAGTCGCTAAGTCTTTGCCCTTCCTCTTGGTTAATGACATTATTTCTCACACACTAATAGTAATAATAGTAATAATAGTAATAATAGTAATAGTAATAGTAATAGTAATGCCTGAAGTTAAGACATCTCTGTAGACATTATTTGTTTAGCACTGATTTATCATTAAAGGATAGATAACATTTATGGAGATTTCGTAACTACAGTGTTGTCTCGACTTATGAACGGTTCTACATACGAACTTACGAACTGCTCTCATAGGAATATATGGACTCGACTTGCGAACTCAGATTCGAGTTACGAACTCTTTTCTTTCCTTTTTAAAAAAATCTAAGTCATCTTAAGTTAAAAGGAAAAAAGAAAAAATATCCCCCTCTAGTGGCACAAGGCGGAATAGCAGCTTACCATTAGTTTCTATGGACAGAAAAGAGCAGATACAGATTAAATGGTTTTCAATGCATTTCTATGGGAAATGCAGATTCGACCTAAGAACTTTTCAACTTACAAACTGCCTTCCAATACGGATTAAGTTCGTAAGTCGAGACCCGACTGTAAACATAAAAGATCAAAGGAAAACACATCCAGTGATCTTCAGGATTACAAATGGCACACTAATTACATTGCATATGGTGATATATAGTCAATGTGATTACAATACAAAACATTCCATTTGTACTAATTGCTTAATCACCTTTTTGCTGTTCTGATGAACCAATTATAGGAAGCCACAAGTCGCTAAGTCTTTGCCCTTCCTCTTGGTTAATGACATTATTTCTCACACACTAATAGTAATAATAGTAATAATAGTAATAATAGTAATAGTAATAGTAATAGTAATAGTAATAATAATA